ACATGCATCTAGCTCCTTGTTAAGAGTCTTAAGCTTTTTATTGGAAATATCATTTGAGACTATTTTATTTGCTAATTTTTTACGTAACTCTTTATTAGTATTAAGGATTTTGATATAAGCCAGGTCTATGTCATTGATTCCTATTATACAAATAGATTCGAATAAAGCTAGAAATTTAGATTTATCTATTAATTTGCAAAAGATTTATTACCAGCCTTTGGGCTATCAAAGGACTGCAAAAAAATTGTATGAAACTTCTCTAAAAGCTGGGTTTGATTTTACCTTAAATGAAGTGCGTGATTGACTCGAAAGATAGGCTATATATCAGATACATAAGCCTTGTCTATTGATTGCTAATCAAAAAATAGTGACCAATCGAAAAGGTATTCGATTTATTAGCGCTCGACCTGTAGTGGTTTTATGCCAAATTCTTTATGCCCTCTAAAAATACTAGTTCTCATGCATTCAAAGACATATGAAGAGGACTTATCATAAGAAGAAAGGATATAATAAATTTCAGAACATTTTTATTTTTAATAAGAACTTGTTCTTGTGAATGGAATTACATAATTGAAAAGATAACCTTGCATTGGTTCTTGATTGTATACAATTTGAAGTATATTCATATACCCTTTGTACCTTTTAAGCTGCTTTCAACAAAATCAAATAGGATAAAACATATATATAGTGATCATTTTTTCTCTATAATCCTATCATTATAGCTATGTATCATCAGATTATTTATCAACTCTTTATCAGAGCATTCTTCTATATGATTTCATATGTGATCATAGTAAGAAATACTAAGATTTACGATAAACTGCTTATTAAGATGCTTTGCAATTAACTCACTATTCAAAAACTTTGGAATGAATATCCCATTACATAGTATCACTGATATTAGGTGCAGATTTGCTAAAATTGTTGGCATATATGTCGCCTGAAAAGTTTCAGTAGTATTGGGCAGCCATTAACCATGAATATTGGGTAGTCATAAACATTTAGCATAAGCGTATTTCTTGAATATTACCTAAGAGCATTTTTTACATATTCTTTATGTGCATCAAAGATTTTTGTTTACAATCGACTGCCCTTGATGTTGTAGTTATCCCAAGATTTGCCATAGTATTTAAGCCTTTATTACTTGTTCCTGATGAATTTAGATAATTTCCTAAATCAAACTTAAAAGAGTTGATTTTCATATTATTCAATAAAGCCAGCAGATAGCAGACGAAAACTATTATCCTCTTCATATGGTCTATTGTTTGATTATTATGCTGAGAAGGTCAAGCCGTTAAATAAAATTACTATAAAAAGTTCTTTAAGACAGAATCTTTCTTTTCTAATAATGCTCGCATTGTATTAAATGTATAAATGGGTTTTTCTTTTTTCTGTATACTCTCTTTCATAAAAAATTTTCACCATCTTCTTGATAGCTTCAAAAAGTTTAAGCGTTAAACTAGGCATACTTACCTCATCTTTTGTAATCATCATTCACTTAGTACCTTTTCTCATGGGATTTTCTACAAAATGCATATAACAAAAATTACACAAGACTAAAGATGGTTCCCATAATTATTTTTAAAATTTTTAACTAGTTGCAACTTAAGTTGCAACACTTTGAGTTGCAACTATTTATGAATTTTTATATTAAAATAAATTTACAAGGAGTTGCAACTTACTGAGTTACAACTTCTTAATTATGGTATCCATTTTTACACAAGACAATACCTTCTTTTTACATTACTTTCGTTAGGTCGCTACTTTCAACTTCTCTTAATTTCTCTCCATTTAAATGGTCCAAATCTGATTGATTCTATAGCTTGGCATTTAATACACTTCTTCTCCTCAGACATGTGAGTGGTGGTTGGATTCAAATGGATTCAATGTATAATATTATTCTACGGTGCAAAAGCTTCAAATTTTACTTAGTCACCCATGCACCTTTCAAAGTAAGGATAGGCTACACAAGCTCTTCAAAATATACTGTAAATCATATAAAAATTGGTTAATGAATTGTGTAACATCTGTTCTAAAAATAGGTACAGTCACTCCTGTTATAAAAATGAAATATTAATAAAATAATATAGTTACATTTCTTAGTTCTTCCATTTTTTGATCACATGAGCGCTTTGCATGAGGAAACTACAAAAAAAAAAAATTCAATTAGCAAAATATTCACATGTTCATCATTCATTAAAGCTTTCCGATTAATTTACTTTCGATTCCAAGTACTCTTCACCATTTAACAATGCCATGTCTAGGTGGAAGATGATTGAACATTTTTCTTCGTATATCTGAGCATGAATTTCGTTAATGTAATAATTAACTTCCAACGTTCTAAATAGTTTAGTAATTCCATAATTTATATTCAGTCTTTCTTCAATTCTCTTATAAAAGCTTTTTTTAATCAACTTTATTAAAGCATGAAGAAAGTTATTTGTGGCGCAATATTTCTATTTTTTTTAATTTTTTTCAAACAAAATTAGTAAATATAATTTCAAATTTCAATTGTTTCAAACAAAAGAACTTTGAAAAGAAGAAAATGGATTTTTTTATTAATGAAAAAAGATAGATAAAAAAGAAAATAAATTTAATTCTACCAAGAATTTCCTTGTAAAAAATTAAAACCGAAATTATGTTACACGAACCGAAAATTGCAACAAAAAAGTTTTATTTATTTGATTCTGTTCTTTGATTCTACAAAAAGCAAATTTAACAATAGAATTTATCTATAAAGAAATTCCATTATGATATTTTTTTCGTAACAATTTTTGGACTGTTATTATTTTAGAAAGTTGATAATTCGGATATGGATTTCTTTTCATTAACCATTTTTGGATATTGCATTTGCATGCATTTTCTTCGGGTGACAAACTCCGGAAATTTTATAAATAAACAGGATATTCTTTTTTTTATTTCCCACCTAAAAATTTATTATTAAGTAAATGTCGCAAAAATATACATTATTCGATATGAACAATAAGAGTAAAAAACGTCATAATGCTAATTCAGAGCAATCGGAGAGTAGAGATTCGAAACATCCTCGTATCAAAGTTAGCTTGGATGATTCAGTTATGGACGTAGATTCTAGTTCTCTTCCATCCCTATCTCCGTTTCCATCCCCCTTACCTTCTTCTTGTCCGTCACCAGTTTCCTTTTCAATGGATTATTCACAGGAAACAGTTTTACAATACGAAAATGAAGTTTCAAGCGAATTAAATAAAATGCATTTAAATAATATCAGAGAAAAAGATATGGAGGTTTGTGAAGATCCACCAGAATTAAAAAGGGATTTCGCTTCAGTAGCGAGTAATGCATTAAAAGGAACTCATTGTATAGCTCAAAGTTTCGAAGAATTTTGTCCAATAATCAAAATATTCCTTTCGTTGGGAAATGAAATTGTAACATTGTATGAAAAGGCTGAACATAATAAACAATTATGTAGTGCCCTTTTACAAAGGTGTAATTGTGCAATAGCTGCAGTAAAAGATTTAAATATTAGAAAAACTGAAAACATGAAGTTTTTTTCCAGGCAAGAAAATCTAAGTATATTTAAAGATTTTATTAAATGTATAAAAAAAATTAGAAACTTTATTAAGGATATTAGTCAATTAAACAAACTTCAAAGATTTATTCATACGAGTGAAATCAACGATAGTTTTAATAAAATTACGAAGGAATTTGACGGATATATGTATAGTTTAAATTTTTCTTTTACTATGCAATCTAGAGATGAACTTGCAACAATTCAACAAGATGTAAGCCAAATGAAAGATATTTTACTCTATGTTCATGGTGTCACCGATAACCAACAAGGTTTTCTCAGTGGGATGGATTTAGTGGCCGGGAGAAACAAAGAATTCAAAAAACAAAACAGATTTAACCCAAACACGAATTCTTCTGAACTTAGAACAACTGTAGAAGCGAACGAACCTTTACTTGAAGGCAGTTGTTATCTAAGAACAATTCCAAATAAATGTCCTTCAAGAAGGATTGAAAAACGTACATGCATCAAAGATTGTACTGACGTTTCATTTAAAGAATTTTCAAATAATACTTCTTCGGATGATGTGCAAACTCAGATTGAAATCAGAAGACAGGTTAACATTCTTAAAGAATTAAAAAATTCTGATCATATTATAAGATTTTTTGGTGTGGCTCAAGAAGAATCCAAATATTATTTGGTTACTGAATGGATGGAATTTGGAAACTTATACGAATATTATACTGAACATAGAGAAAATATGAAGTGGGAAACAAAAATAAGATTTGCTTTAGATATTTGTCGTGGTGTCGCGTATCTTCATGAATGTGAGGTAAATAAGCAATTTAAAATTCGTTAATTTTTGAACTTTTCTTTATATAAATATATTTTCTAAAAAAAAAAAAATATTATAATTAGATCCTTCATCATGATATCCAGTCGGCAAATATTTTAATAAATCAATATCACAAAGTTAGAATAGCAAATTTTGGTCTAAGCAAAAAATTTTCAGATATTACAAGAAATATTTCAAATAATTTAGAAAATATTAGATATATGGCTCCAGAAAAATTATTATATGATAAAAATAATAAGGATAATAAAACGAAAAAGGTTGATTATGATACTAAATGTGAAATTTACAGGTAAATTGAACTTTTAAATCAAAGATCGTTCTTTTACAAATATAACAAATTTATTAAATTTTTTTTTTAATATTTTACAGCGTCGGAGCATTACTGTGGGAAATTGCGGAATTAAAAAAGCCACATTCTGATCTTGATAAATCAGAAATACTTGGTAGTATTAGAAAACGTATACAAGAAAAGTATTATGAACCATTTTCAGATGATGTGCCTGGTGAATGGAAGCACATTGTATCTAGAGGTGTGTTATAATTGGATAAAGTAAAAAGGTTCTAAATTAAAATCTTACCATTTTTTCTCAATTTTATTATAGCTATGGAGTATGAACCAGCATGGCGTTCTACTATTTCTAGTATTTGTCGCGATCTTTATAAATTGGCGGGTATCCCCCGTCAATTCACTAGTCCCAATTCTATTTTTGAAAATGAAGTTTCGACGCCCAATTATTCTTCAGAGAGTTACAAGGAAAATATATCAACAAATAATAATCAAAGCGCAAGGTTTTCATCACCCATCACTTTTACGATTCTCCCTGTTGAAGATGCGATTCGCGAACACAAATCCAGTAATGGAAATAAGCTAGTTGCATGGAATAGTTTCAAATTTCACTCAGTAACCAACGTTGAGGCAAGGTATTGGGTAGGATATTATTATTTTTATCATGGCGAAGATATTCCGGAATTACGTCCAATTACTAAGGAAGAAAGAACCAAAAACGCCGTTGATATATTTAAAGAAACTGCTGATAAAGGAAATACTTCCGCTCAATTAAGATATGGAATGCATTTATGGCAAAAGGAAAACAATTATGTAGAAGGTTTCAAATATTTAGAGATGTCAGCTAATTCAAAAGATGCAACGGCTATGTTTATCGTTGGGAAAGCATATTGGAACGGTATCAACGGTATTGTACAAGATAAGGTTCTAGGTGCCCAATATTTAAAATGTGCTGCTTTGGAAGCTCATCCTAAAGCTCAAGATTTATGTAATGAATATAGAATTTCATAAACATTATTTTTTGAAGTTTTTTTTTTTTGGTTCAGTTTGGTTCTTCGGTTTGTTTCTAATCTTCAGTTCATCATAAAAATGAATTTTATTTAATAAAAAGTTTTTAAATATGTTTTTTTACAATAATTTAAAATTTAAAAAATAATAACGTCATAAAAATATGTTTGCCTTCCACTTACTTAAATCTAAGGCTGATTGATATAGAAAGGTAGTTTCTATGCGTCACCTTTCTTCCGATATCATTTTTGTTTTAAACGAATAAAAATTTGAAACCCGGTGCATTTTTTCATATCAAAATGCAAATTTCTGAGGTCCTGTGAATTCTTATGAATTAATGCTTATTTTAAACTATAGTATCTTTGCAAATATTGAAAGATTATAAAGGGATGACAGACTTCCTTAATGAATCCCAATAGAATAGAGGGAATATATTTTTATCATAAGAAATTTAACCGGTGATGTCAGCCGTATCGATTCCGTGAAGATAAATCGATCCTTCATGACTGCTTCTTTAACACTCGTTGGCCCTGGGGCTTATTCTGGGATTAAAGTTACTAAATGGCAAATTTAAATCTTTGATCGGATCCATTGAAATTGATTGATGTACTGTACATTCGCGTCACAAAGTAACGCTAGATAATAAAGCATATAAAAAATAGAAAGTTTAAGGCTATAAAATTTATTTGCATTTTTCTTTACAATTATCTCTGAATTATATATCATTCTATGGCTAATCAAATGTACTTTCAAAAAATAATATACATTTTTACTATGTCTATTATTATAAAATAAATTTACATATAAAAAATTGAAATTTCTAAACCATACCATATATACAATCGTATTACTGTTAAAATTATTTCCAAATTTTATTAAATTTGAATATATTTTTTTTTAAAAAAGATTACTATCTTGTGTAGACTTAAACCCAAAAACTTTTAAAATTTATAAAAATTTTTTATATAAATTTTACTATATCAATCTTTGATATAATTTCAAATCGGGCGTTACTTTAACGACGCGACTGTACGTAATTGTTATAGAAAAACATAATATTTTCTTTGTTTTATGTTTAATATTGCGATGATTTAATGATGACCAATTTGTCGCGTAGGTATTAAGTACATTCATGTTCCATTTCTCATTCCGTCTAATAAAAATTCACAAGCCATGTTTTCTTTTAAATTTTATAAATGCAAATTTTTTTTTAATAATAATTTTCGAGACGCGATAAATATTATAAATATTTTAGCGGAATAGATTCTTGTACTTTATATAAAAAGTGATATGGCAAATCATGATATTTCATTGGTTTAAACCATAAGCGTATTTCCTGATATCATAAATCTTTAAATCTTTAATTCAATAATTAATATACGTTTTACTTATTTTTAATATTAAAAGTTTTTAAACGAATAAATAAAAATAAATAAGACGTTTTTTTTTGGACTTTATTATTAAAACTTAAAAAATTTTTTTCTTTTTTTGGATAAAAGATGGAATAGAAACGATTTAAAAAATTTAAGAATTCATAAAGGTGCTATATTAAAAAAATATAGAATATTTTTTACCTATAACGGGAGTTAACATCACCGGATCATGTGATATTATAATAACACATGATTTTACTTTATTAAAAAATAACCTCTAATCTCTAATCCTTCACAGACGTTAACTACATGTTATTTTCAAAAAATATATATTAAATAAATTTCGGAGAAAGTTTTTTGTGTAACATAATTTAAATCTTTTTTTGTAAATAAAACAATCAATCATTCAAGAAAATAGTCGATTTTAAAATTTCTATTTTGACCCATATTGGGATACTGCATAATATGCATATATTTTTTTCCTGCAATGCTAGGAAATAGAACTCCGGAAATGATATTTAATTAAATGGAATTTTACAATTGTTTAACGTATAACTACTTCTTCTCCCCTCTTGATTATTATTATGTTCAGAAATAAAAAACGTCAAAAGAACAAAAACTTGAGTGTAGATGAAAATTCTACTTCATCTTTATCACCTTCACCTTCACCTTCACCTTGTCCTTCACCATTAATGAATCCACAAATTGATAATGGAATAACGAATGAATTAAATAAGATGAATTTAGATAATGAAAGAACAACGGATGATTGTGAAAGTACAAAGGAATTAACAAGTCACGGTTCTAATGTTTGTACAATAATAAAAGGAGCACATTGTATAGTTAGAAGTTTCGAAGAATTTAATCCACTAATCAATACATTCCTTTCATTGGGAAATGAAATTATTACTTTGTATGAAAAGGCTGAACATAATAAAAAATTATGTAGTATCCTTTTAAAAAGAGTTAATTGTGCATATGCTGCAGTAAAAGATTTAAATATTAGAAAAACCGAAAACACACAATTTTTTTTTAAAAACGAAAATCTAAAAATATTTGAAGACTTTATTAAGTGTATAAGAGAAATTAAAAACTTTATAGAAGATATCAGTCATTTAAACAAACTTCGAAGATTTTTTTATACCGGTGGGATCAACGATACTTTTCAAAAGCTTACAAAGGAATTTGACGGATATATGAATAGTTTGAATTTTTCTTTTATTGTAGAATCTAGAGATGAATTTGCAACTATGAAGGATGATGTAAACCAAATCAAAGATATATTAATTTGTGTATATGGAGTCTCTGATGATAGACAATCTCAACAAAATTTCCTCACTGGAATGGATCGAGTAGTTGGAAAAAACAAAAACTTTCAAAAGCAGCAAGACAAAAATTTAAATCCATCTGAATTTAAAGACCTAGAAGAAAATGAACCATTACTTGATGGTAGCCAATATAAAAGAACAAATATATGTCCTTCAAAGAAAATTGAAAAACGTACATTAATCAAAGATAGTACTGACGTTTCATTTAAAGAATTTTCAATTAAGACTTCCCCTTCGGAGACTAATAATGAGCAAACTCAAGGCAAAACTCAAATTGAAATCAGAAGACAAATTAATATACTTAAGGAGTTAAAAAATTCTGATCATATTATAAGATTTTTTGGTGTGGCTCAAGAAAATTCCAAATTTTATTTGGTTACCGAATGGATGGATCATGGAAATTTATATGAATATTATACCAAATTTGGTGAAAATATGAATTGGGAAACAAAGATAAGATTTGCTTTAGATATTTGTCGTGGCGTTGCGTATCTTCATGAATGTGAGGTAAAATTGTTATTAATTTTTTTTTTTTTTAAAAATAAAATAATATATTAATATTTATTTTATATAAATTTAAATAGATTCTTCATCATGATATTCAATCGACAAATATTTTAGTAAGTCAATATCACAAGGTTAGAATAGCAAACTTTGGTCTAAGTAAAAAATTTTCAGATGCTACAAGAAGTATTTCACATAATTTAGAAAATATAAGGTACATGGCTCCAGAAAAACTATTATATGATAAAAATAATAAGGATAATAAAACGAAAAAGGTTGATTATGATACTAGGTGTGAAATTTACAGGTAACTTAAATCAAGTTCGCATTAATCGTGTATTTGAAATTCCTTTTTAAAAATTAATCAATTGTAATAATTTTATTAACTTTTTAATATTATAGCGTTGGAGCGTTATTGTGGGAAATTGCAGAATTAAAAAAACCTCATTCTGATCTTGATAAATCAGAAATACTTAATAAAGTTAGAAAACGTATGCGAGAAAATTATTATGAACCACTTTCAAAAGATGTGCCTTTCGAATGGAAGAATATGGTATCTACTGGTGAGTGAATGTTACAATTGGATAAAATTTAAAATTATTTATATTATTTAATTAGAGTCTTACTATATTTTTTTTTTTTTTAGCTATGGAATATGAACGTGATTGGCGTATTAAAATTTCTTTAATTTGTCGCAAACTTTATAAATTGAAGGAAAAATATTCAGGTACATCCCGTCCACACAGCGGTTCTATTTCTTCAGAAAATGAAGTCCCAACACCTTCTGAGGACTATAAAGAAAATTTATCTGCAATAAATAATCAAATTGCAACTACCGTTTCATCATCCATAACTATTAATATTCTCGCTACTGTAGACGACGCAATTCGCGAACACAAATCTAATAATGGAAATAAACTAGTTGCATGGAATAGTTTTAAATATCACTCAATAACCAATGTCGAGGCAAGATATTGGGTAGGGTATTATTATTTTTATCATGGTGATGATATACACGAATTACAACCAATTAGTGAGAAAGAAAGAATCAAATATGCCATTGAAATATTTAAAGAAACTGCGGATAAAGGAAATTCTTCTGCTCAATTAAGATATGGAATGCATTTATGGAAAAAGGAAAACAATTATATCGAGGGTTTCAAATATTTGGAGATGTCAGCTAATTCAAAAGATGCAACGGCCATGTTTATTGTTGGAAAAGCTTATTGGAATGGTATTAATGGTATTAAACAAGATAAGACACTAGGTGCCGAATATTTAAAAAAGGCTGCTTTTGCAGCTCATCCTAAAGCTAAAGAGTTGTGCAATGAATATCGAATTTTATAATTCGATTCGTTGCTACTCCAAAAAATGAATTGCACACATTATTGATTTTTGAATTTTTTTAATAAAAAGAATTTAACAATTCATAATTATGCAGCGGTAATCTGATGTCATTTACGGTAGAAATTTTTTTGAACGGATAAAAATGTCAAATCCATTGTTTTTTCATCTTTAATCTAAAATCTTGTGGATTCTTACTAGTTAATGCTATTTTTCGCTCATTTTGAATGAGTCACAAGGATCTAATGGAAAGTATGACACCATTTATAGAGGGGGGTAGCATGACAGGAAATAATAAAAAAATCCAATAATAATAATAAAAAAAAGAGCTTTCATATCACATATGGGATAGTCAGTATTTGTCAATAAAAAAAAAATTTTTTTTGAGATACTATATTTTCATATTGTTAAGGATTGATTCAAAAAAAGATATAAAAATTTCGAAACATTTATTAATTATTAAATATAAAATTGAATAAATTTCTTTTCAATGACCCCAAATTTCAAAGTGCGATTATTAAAAAAAAACACGACTTTTCCGTTCTGAACACCTTTTCGGAAATACAAAAAAAAGATGTAATTAAATTTAATTAGTTTTCTTGTAAAACTTTTTTTTTGATTTTATTCTTTTAGAGCCAATTTCTATAAATTCATTTATTAATTAGTATTGCTTCTTGATATCAGCCTTTTACATTTAGCTAGCAATCAAAAAAACGACTCCTCAATTATTCAATAATATGCGCTTTACTAATTTTTAAATTAAACAAATAAATAAAGAAAATATAAAATAGGACATTTCTTTTTGAAAATGAATAAATTATTTTTTTAAAAAAAAAAATAATAAATGTAACCTTGTTTGACTTTATTATTCAAACGTAAATATTTTCTTTTTTTTTGAGAAAAACTTTTGAATGAAAGAGATAAAGATTTATAATAAAATTTAGTGGAATGGAAATTTTTTTTATCCAAATAAATTTCCGATATCTAGTGGGGAAAATCAATGAAAATTTATTCCATCCGGAAACATGATTAGAATATTCTATTATCTCTTGGCGGCATTCTAGAAAAAAAAGATCGATTTTTTATTTGGACCTATTTTTGGACATTGTATAATGATATGCAGTGCGGTGATAAAACTCCGGAAAGTTATAAAATGAGCAAAATTTTTTCGAAAATTAACGGTATAACTTATTTTCCCGCTTAATTACTATGGACAATAATAACAACCAACACCAAAATAAAGAATCGAAGAACAGCTTAGATGTAGATTCGATTTCTATTTCAACTTTATCTCCTTATCCTTCTCCTTGTCCTTCACCATCAATGTATCCACAAGATGATAATGGTGATATAAATAAAATGAATATAGCTAATAATAATTGTGAAAGTACAAAGGAATTAACAAGTCGTGGTTCTAAATTTCGTGTAGCAGTAAAAGGGGCACATTGTATAGCTCAAAGTTTCGAAGAGTTTTGTCCAGTAATCAAAACATTCTTTTCATTGGGAAATGATATTTTATTGTTGTATGAAAAGGCTGAACATAATAAAGAATTATGTAGTGTCCTTTTGAAAAGATGTAATTGTGCAATTGCTGCAGTAAATGATTTAATTGTTAGAAAAACTGAAAACAAATGGTTTTTTTCTAAAAACGAAAATTTAATCTTGTTTAAGGAGTTCACTAAATGTATGAAAAAAATTAAAAAATTTATTGAAAATATTAGTCACTTAAACAAACTTCAAAAATTTTTTCAAACCAATGACATCAACGAAACTTTTAAAAAACTTACGACGGAATTTGACGCATATATGAATAGCTTACAATTTTCTATGACTGCAGAAACTAGAGATGATTTGGCAACAATAAAAGATGACGTAAGCCAAATGAAAGATATTTTACTCCATGTTCATGGCGTAACCGATAACCAACAAGGTTTTCTTAATGGAATGGATTTAGTAACCGAGAAAAACAAAGAGTTTCAAAAACAAAGCAAATCTAACTCAAGCACGAATTCACCTGAATTTATAACAAATGTTGAAGCAAAAGAACCATTACTTAATATTAGTAAATATCAAAGGACAGATATTTGTCCTTCAAAAAGGATTAATAAACGTACAACATACATAGATTGTACGGAAGTTTCATTTAAAGAATTTTCTAATACTACGTCTTCCGAAGTGCAAACTCAGATTGAAATCAGAAGGCAAGTCAATATTCTGAAGGAATTAAAAAATTCTGATCATATTATTAGATTTTTTGGTGTGGCTCAAGAGGATTCCAAATTTTATTTGGTTACCGAATGGATGGAACATGGAAATTTATTTGAATATTATACCACTTTTAAGGATAATATGAATTGGGAAACAAAGATAAGATTTGCTTTAGATATTTGTCGTGGCGTTGCGTATCTTCATGAATGTGAGGTAAAATCGTTATATATATGTATATTTTTTAATTAATTTTAATTAATCTTATTAATATTTATTTTATTTAAATAGATTCTTCATCATGATATTCAATCAACAAATATTTTAGTAAATAAAAATCTCAAGGCTAGAATAGCAAACTTTGGTCTAAGTAAAAAATTTTCAGAATCTACAAGAAATATCTCACATAATTTAGAAAATATAAGGTACATGGCTCCAGAAAAATTATTATATGATAAAAATAATAAGGATAATAAAACGAAAAAGATTGATTATGATGCTAAATGTGAAATTTACAGGCAAGTGAAATTTATTTAAACGAATTTGAAAAATATATATACACATTATGTTAACAATTTATTTTAATATTATAGCGTTGGAGCATTATTGTGGGAGATTGCAGAATTAAAAAAGCCTCATTCTGATCTTAACAAATCAGAAATTCTTGGTAGCATTAGAAAACGTATACAAGAAAATTATTATGAACCATTTTCAGATAATGTGCCTGGTGAATGGAAGCAAATTGTATCTACTGGTGAGTGAATGTTGCAATTGGATAGAATTTAAAATTATTTCATTTAGAACCTTAATATATTTTTTTTTTTTTAGCAATGGAATACGAACGTGATTGGCGTTCTAATATTTCTGTTATTTGTCGACAACTTTACAAATTACAGAATTCAAATACACACTCCCGTTCACACAGCGGTTCTAATTTTTTAAATTGTGAAAATGAAATCCTAACACCTTCTGAGGACAATAAAGTAAATTTATCTGCAAAAAATAATCAAAGTGCAACTACCGTTTCACCATCCATAACTATAAATATTCTCGCTACTGTGGATGACGCAATTCGCGAACACAAATCTAATAATGGAATTAAACTAGTTGCATGGAATAGTTTTAAATATCATTCAATGACCAGTGTTGAGGCAAAGTATTGGGTAGGATATTATTACTTTTACCATGGTGAAGATATACCCGAATTACAATCAATTAGCAAGAAAGAAAGAACAAAATATGCCAATGAAATATTTAAAGAAACCGCAGACAAAGGAAATTCCTCCGCTCAATTAAGATATGGAATGCATTTATGGCAAGAGACGAAAAATTACATTGAGGGTTTTAAATATTTACAGATGTCAGCTGATTCAAAAGATGATGTTGCTATGTATATTGTTGGAAAAGTTTATTGGGGTGGTATTCATGGTATTGAACAAGATAAGACACGAGGTGCCGAATATTTAAAAAGTGCTGCTTTGGCAAATAATTCTAAAGCTAAAGAATTATGTAAAGAATATAAAATAGTATAAGCGTTATTTTTATCTATATTTTTTTTGATTCCGTTTGATTCCTCGTTTATACATCACAAATGTAGTTTAATATTCTTGAATTTTGTTTTATTTAATAAAAAGTTTTTAAATACAAAAAGATTAAGACATTTTTTTTTTCAACTTTCCGCGTCACTTAATTGAGTCAAAGATTGATATAAAAAGGTTTACGACAGAAATTTTTTACTATTTGTTTGAACGGATACAAATATATTCAAATCCGGTGCATTTTTCATGTTAAGTTGTTTGGAATGAGTTACAAAAATTTAATGGAAAGTTTTTACACCTTTATAAAAGGAGCAGCATGACAGCCTTTCTTAAAGGAAAGAATAATAGAAATCCTATAAAAAAAAAGTTTCTTGTAATAAGAAATTAATACTTGTGATGTCAGCCGAATCAATCAAAACAATTAAAGATCTTAACATCCTAGGAATAAAACTTCTAAATATCAAAATAATTTAATTATAATTTAAAAATTATAAAAATGCTAAAGATTTTGAGAGCTGTCCATATTATGAAATCTAATTTATGATAATTTCATTGGTGGATAAAGATATTTTTTTTCCCGTTAAATGATCCCAATTCAACACGCGCTTTACCTATACCTAATTTTAAGTAATATTAGAAAGTTTAACGAATGTATGATATGATGACTTAAAAATAGGATTTTTTTTTTTTTTGTAAATCACGAAATTTTTTTTTTTTTTGTATGTAGTTAAATCATTATTATTATTAACGTGAAATATCCATTTAGAATGTTTTGGCAAATTGAAATTGATAAAATCAATTTAAATTTTTGTTTAATGAAAAATCGTTTAATAGTAAATTCTATACATTAATAAAAAAGTCGATTTTAAAAATGTTTTATTTTGACCTATTTTTGGCTATTACATGATGATTTGCATATTTTTTTTTTCGGTAATAAAACTCCGGAATGTTAATTTAATTGTACAGAATTTTGCGAATGTTAACGATAAAACTTTTTCTTTTCCCATATGGATACTATATTAAAAAAACTTAATAGAAAATCGAAGAACAAAAGCAACTTGAGTGTAGATAAGATTTCTATTTCATCTCTATCTCCTTCTCCTTCTCCAATTCCTTCACCATCAATAAATCCACAAAATGATAATGGAATTACGAATGAATTAAATAAGTTGAATTTAGATAATGAAAGAACCACGGATGATTGTGAAAGTACAAAGGAATTAACAAGTCACGGTAATAAATTTCGTAATGGAGTAAAAGGGGCACATTGTATAGCTCAAAGTTTCGAAGAATTTTGTCCGATAATCAAAAATTTCATTTCATTGGGAAATGAAATTGTATTATTGTATGAAAAAGCCGAATATAATAAAAAATTTTGTAGTATCCTTTTAAAAAGAGTTAATAGTGCAAATGCTGCAGTCAAAGATTTAGAAATTAGAAAAACCGAAAATCAACAGTTTTTTTCTAAACAAGAAAATTTAATATTGTTTAAATCGTTTACGAATTGTATAAGAGAAATCAGAAACTTTATTGAGGATATTAGTTATTTAAGCAAACTTCAAAGAATTTTTCAAACCTATGATATCAACGAAACTTTTAATAATCTTTCGAAGGAATTTGACGGATATATGAGTAATTTACTTGTTTCAATTGCTTTAGAATCTAGAAATGATGTTGCAACAATAAAGGATGATGTGAAAGAAATTTTGAAAAGTGTTCATGGCGTCTCTGATGATAATCAACAAAAATTTCCTCAAAGGGATGGATCGAGTAGCTGGTAAAAACAAAGAATTTCAAAAGCAGCAAAACAAAAATTTGGATCCATTTGAACTTAATGACCTAGAAGAAAATGAACCATTACTTGATGGCAGTCAATATCGAAGGACAAAAGTTTGTCGTTCTAAGAGGATTGAAAAACGAACATCATCCAAAAATTGTACTGAAGTTTCATTTAAGGAATTTTCAAATAATGCATCTTCTCAAATTCAAAAGGAAGTCAGAGTACAAGTCAATATTCTAAAAGAATTAAAAAATTCTGATCATATAATAAGATTTTTTGGTGTGGCTCAAGATGATTCCAAATTTTATTTGGTTACCGAATGGATGGAACATGGGAATTTACATGAATATTATACCAAATTTAAAGAGAATATGAATTGGGAAACTAAAAAAAAATTTGCTTTAGATATTTGTCGTGGTGTCGCGTATCTTCATGAATGTGAGGTAAGAAATGAAATCGTTAATTTTTGATTATTTTTATTATTATTTTATAAATACATATATATATATATTTTAATAATTAGATCCTTCATCATGATATTCAATCGACAAATATTTTAGTAAGTCAATATCATAAGGTTAGAATAGCAAACTTTGGTCTAAGTAAAAAATTTTCAGATGCTACAAGAAGTATTTCACATAATTTAGAAAATATAAGGTACATGGCTCCAGAAAAACTATTATATGATAAAAATAATAACATGGAAAAGGTCAATTATGATACTAAATGTGAAATTTATAGGCAAGTGAAATTTTTTTAAACGAAATTGGCAATACTATCAAACAATTTTATTAACATTTTCTTTTAAAATTATAGCGTTGGAGCATTATTGTGGGAAATTGCAGAATTAAAAAAACCTCATTCTGATCTTCATAATTCAGAAATACTTAATAAAGTTAGAAAACGTATACGAGAAAGATATTATGAGCCATTTTCAAATGATGTGCCCCACGAATGGAAGCGAATAGTATCTGCTGGTAAGAGAATTTAACGATTAAATAAAGTTTAAATTGCTTAAATTTACAATCTTACTATCTTCATTTTTCGTAATTATATATAAATATATAGCTATGGTATACGAACGTGATTGGCGTTCTCATATTTCAGCTATTTGTCGCGACCTTTATGAATTGACGATGGAACATCAGTCAGATAAATCTCGTCAAAATAGCGGTTTTAGTTTTCCAAACAATGAAAATGAAGCCTCGACACCTTCGGAGGATCATAAAGTAAATTTATCAGCAAATAGTAATCAAAGTGCAATATTTTCATCAATTTTTACAATCCTCTCTGTTGACGATGCAATTCACGAACACAAATCTAATAATAAACAAGTTGCATGGAATAATTTCAAATTTCACTCAATGACGAGTGTTGAGGCAAAATATTGGGTAGGGTATTATTATTATTATAATGGTGATGATATACCCGAATTACAACCAATTAGTGAGGAAGAAAGAACCAAATATGCCATTGAAATATTTAAAGAAACTGCCGATAAAGGAAATTCATCTGCTCAATTAAGATATGGAATGCATTTATGGCAAAAGGAAAAAAATTACATTGAGGGTTTGAAATATTTAAAAATGTCAGCCGATTCAAAAGATGCTGTTGCTATGTATATTGTTGGGAAAGCTTATTGGAATGGTATAAATGGTATTGAAATAGACAAGACACTAGGTGCCGAATATTTAAAAAGAGCTTCTTTGAATGGTCACACTAAAGCTAAAGAATTATGTAATGAATATGAAATTTCATAAAAGCCTTATATTTATATCGTTTGTACCTTATTTATATTTGTATTTTATTTTTATTTTTATTATATAAATAAATATTATCACCTTATGAGTATTAACTAAAAGTCATTATTTTACAGATTTTTTATTTTTTATATTTGATTAGTTTGCGTTTTAATTAACAGCTTATCCAGGCAGCTCGGTTTGTTTTAATAAAGGAAAGATTTGAGAGCAAATTTGATCTCGAATAAAAAATCCAATCGATCTTGGAATTTTAGAAAGATAAAAAGTATATTGAACCGAAAATTATATGTTTAGTGATAACCAAAGTAATGAAAACGCGAAATTTTTGATAATATATATCTCAATATCATTGTAATTGTAATTTTTTTTCACAAGCATAACGCATCATTTATATCGCGTTTAATTTGACTTGGGGACCTTTAATAACTTATTTGGCACATACACGTGGGTTAGGTAAGGAAGGAGAAGATTAGGAGTCTCGAAATGCGTTACAAAAAAAGAAAATTTGCCAAATCAAAAATAAACGAATATGTCGAGTCTAAGCGAAAATTCCTAGATGATTATTTTGTATGCTTTGCTTCCACGTACACGTCTACTTGTAAGGCTTATCCATATTAATATGGCAATCGTTTGCAATCGGGCGAATAACAAATATGATTTAAACCTTTCAAACCGTTTTTATGTCAACGAAATTAGAACTAGAGAATCTATCTCCGTCATTCAAATATCCATCGTCATCGTCATTACCTTCAAATTATATCTTTCACATATTATTCACAAGAAATAACCTCAAGTAGTGATAACGCATCATTTAATAGATTGCGATGATAAGTTTGGAAGCTGAAACCAGATTGTCATCATTTTAACTTTACCAAGCGGTACATCATTACATCTTCATTATTATAATATACAGTTTTAACCGATACAGCGACAATTATTAAATACCAAGAAAAGATATTGAGAAGAATGTTTAGATATCCATAACTCGTGTGTAATTTCCTTATTAAGATTATGTTTTTTTAATTTTAAATGGTAATACAAAACTATGATTTAATAGTTTTAGTGAATATTTTATAAAATGTTCGTTATATTAAAAGCGAGACCTCTTCTAATTATCTTATTTTAAAAGAAGACGGATAACGTTTTATTAATTATCGCTTTACAATCTTTTATTTAAAATAACATCAATCGAAAACAGGCAAATACCAATAATTGGTATAAACTTATGATGTTTGTTCAATTATGATCTAGATTTATGACATCAATTGTATTATTTTGATAAAAACATTCAAAAATCATTTATTGTCACAAGATCCAAGGATTCCCAATTCTTATACCTAAAATGCTAATTAAAAAACATTCTTACTAACAAACGTTGTACATCATTTCTCTTTTTTAAAAATAAAAATTAGATATTCGAACTTGTCACAATTGCCTAACAATATTGAAAACATGTGTCTTTGATAAATTACTCTTGATTAAAATCGTTGTAGCAAAGTACAAAAATTAAAACATCAATATGAAAGGGACAATGACATAATCTAAACTCAATAGTTGAAAATAAAATCTATTAAAAACCCACATAAGAAATCCTTAATCACACCACCAACCTTATATTTGTCAATTATTTTCGTATATTTTTCTTCTTTATAATCATGATCTGGTGCAAGGATAGTGATTGCAGGTCGACCCTTCCAACCCTCTGAAAATTCCTCTAGAGTTTTAGGTGAAAATTTAAACTGATAAAAGACTCCAATTTCTTTCAGACTATTTGGTGCGGACCTAACCAATGCATGTGATAATTTTTCCCCAGATATAAACCTCTTTTCTGCGCTTAAACTTTCCGTTTCTAATAATAATACTTTTAATCTTTGACAAGTATTTAATAATTTTTCAAATTCAGCAAAATGTTGATTAGATGGTGAAAATATGAGGGATAAATATTCAACTAGAGGACAATTCTCATAAATTGTCCGAATAAGTATGAGAGTGTTTTCATAAAATTTGTCCTCATAAATATCATATTCATTAATTAAGATTTTCTTGAGACGACCTCCGCTGCTTTTAATTATACAGGTAATTGTGTCAATCAAAATATAACCTATTTGAAGCACCTCAAGATGTTGATATTTATAATCAAATGGACCATAACAAGAAGGATATATTTTTAATGTTTTTATATTGTAAAATCTTGAAATTATCTCTTGTAGGTGACCATCTTCATAACTGTATTCCGAGTAATCATTAAAATGTGTTACAAGGTGAATGAGGGTATCGGCCTTGTTCGATAGTTCCAGAAAAGTGTTTATATACACATCTTTAATCGGATAATAATCAAGATTACTCAAATCATCTTTCCATTCAAAATATTTCAAGTTCTTCTGAGTTTCAATTAATTTAACAATCCCATTATTTGATTCCAAGTTTGTATTAACAATAATGAGCCTTTGTATTGACTGACATATGCGAGCTAATCCATAAAAGTAAGTGCGGTCAACCGATGTGTCGCATGTTAATTCACAGAGTGGCTCAAGACGAACCTTTGCTTCCGGAAAGTAAAATAGTTGGTGCTTAACCGATCTCATGTCAAAGTACTTTATTTCTTGACATTTCATCATAAAGAGATTGTAAATTTCTTCTTGTAAAAGAAATTGATTAAAAATTGAAAACCCACCAATAGAAATTATATCGTTTATGACGGTCACATTGATACTTCTGCAATAAGACAAATAATCAAATAAAAGTGATTTAAGTGAAATAAGAGGTAAGTTCATCCCTTGATTTTTTAGCTTTTCTTTAATATCATCGGATAAAGAACAAGTGATAATGTGGTACAATGAACTTTTACTTTGATAATCCACATCTTCGTAGCACCAAGGATTCCTCCATAAAATCGGAACTGATGTCTCACACCAAAGTCTATTGACCAATAAGCATTGAAAGAGTGATTTTGAATCATCTTGTAATTCATCAAATAACAAGAAAAGAATGTCTTTATTAAGTTTGGACATATTTCCGAAAATAATTTCCGCAGTATTTAAATCGATAACGCCAGTATTAAAAAGGCAAAAAAAAGCGGAAATTGCTCTTATTTATATTTTTTTTTAAAAAAAATAAATTAGTCAATTTTGTGATCAATCATGTATGACAAATATGGTCATGATTACGTCATAAGATTTTTTCTTTTTTCGCAATAATGTTGATTTATACCTATTTTATCAACATCTATCTCAAAATGGTCATTTAACATAAAATCTAAACAATGGTTAATATTATTATAAAAAGATAAAATTTATGCTCAACAAAATTAGAATTGTGGTTAAAAAAAATTATTTCCCGTTTTTAATCTTTCATAAATGTTTTTATATTATATATAATATACTATCAGTATTCAAATATATATTTATCTCAAAACAATTCGTTTTCAAGTACTATTTTTGCATAAATCATAACTAAATTTTATCCATTAAAAAAATACCTTCAAATTTTATCTCAAATGCAATCTCTGACATTTACAAAACTAAATTCTTTGGAATTGCTAGAATGCATTAGTCTAATAAGAGAACTTTTAAAAAGCAATAACATAGCGTAGTTGTGAAGCAGTATTGCGGCGTAGTAAAATCTCAACAACTTAATCTTTTAAGTGACCTTATTGGTCGCGCATTTTTTATTCAATAAATGAATGGCGTTTAAAGTGAAACCTGCAAAAAAAATTTTTTTGAGTTAATGATTTACTTAATTTGATTCTAATAGCAAACGACCCATTTTATCTCTTGAGAGGTGCATTTTGAAAAATAGATTTCTATGCCAAGTTTAATAATAATTTCGAGTAAATCGAGTAAATAGTGTAATTGAAACAGAAAATCTCAAGTACTAATTCACTAATTGGTAGGTGGAGTAAAAGAAACAACATAATTTCTCACAATGGTTCAACATGATAAAATATTTGGCTTTAAGCCATATAACTTTATTAACACAAAAACAAATTATTAAGTATCTTTTACTTTTTATATTCTAGCTGTTCAATTCTTTCCTTATACAACGAAAATCATATTCTTCTGAATACCTTCCTTAGTGAGATATAAAGTAGATGCGTTGCTCAGTAATTCATCGAAGATTGATTAAGGTCAAAGTTTCGAGATTAACCTTGAAGTTTTGATGCGGATTTTGCTATCGGAAATATTGATTGTTTCAGAGAAAAAAAGAGAAATTTTCAAACTTTTCCTATGTTAACATTACTACAGACATAAATCATTCAATTTTGATTTAATTTTATTTAGTTTTTAGCTAAGATGCTCTCATTCAACACAAGTATATTCTGAATTATATTTTATGCTAAAGTATCTATTAATAATGCTATTAAAAACCTATTTGAATGTGTAACTTAAAAATTTAAAAACTTTTTCAAAACCTTTAAAATGAATTTTTTAAATCTGAAATTTGATTAAACTTCATTGAGTTTGGGAAAACCTATTAGAAATTTAGGTAAAAAATATTTATTATAAACAATTGCCTAAAATAGTTTAGAAAAGCATTAATTCAAATTACAGCTAATTTATTAATAAAGTCTTAATATCACAAGATATTCTATAATATTTGATATATAAATCTGAAAAATGTTATCAGTCAAAAAAGAGTATACAATTTAGAAAAGAAAAAATATTATCATTGAAATTAATATCTAAAGTATACCAATCCCTTGATTCTTACTTTTTGTAAGTAATTTTAAAAAAAATTATTAAAAAAAGTAAAGAAAAATATTTTAACAAAAAAAATACTGTTTAGATTATTATAGAAATTTGTATATAAATAAAGATATAGAAAATAAAAGGATAAATATTTTTGAAAAGAATGGTTTTTGTTTTGATTATAGGCTAAACCACTATTATTTTTGAATTTATATATTTTTACATAAAATTTCTTAAATAAAATCCAATAATAACAACTAATAAGATATTGTAAAAAAAATAACTATCAAGTTATTTTATAGATTACTACTA